GCACAAGCAACACAATCAACCACTTCCTGCTCTCTAGCATTTTGAGCTACCCAATCTAACCAAAGATTCCTATCACCGAAACCCGTGGCCCGCTCTATTAACTCTTGAGGTTTTAGTCTAGAGTAATCCGTGGTCACAAGCCATTTCTCTTCTGAGTCCTTATAAGTAACTGTCCCTAAAGGATTCACTTGCTCCATAAGATTTATTCCCGCGTTGTTCCCTATTGGTTGGGATCTTGGATTGAATAAGTTCACCCGAATTACCCCTGCTGGATCTGTCCCTATTTTATCTACCCCTATGACTAAATAAAAGGCTCCTCCATCATACCCTGCTTCAGGGAGTCCACTCCATGGTCCTAGGGAAAGAGTAACAGGGTTACTTGTAACAGAATAATCTTTCTGAATGGCTATCCCTTCCAGGGCCTGTGGCACTGTCGGCTGCCATCCTACTCCTGTCCACGCAACCACATCCTGCCAAGAACACCACTGATCTGTTATATAAGTGTAAACTTCTCCGTCCATTGACAGACCCCACACCGACTTGGGGTAACACACCATGGGATGATAACAAACCCACACATCATAGGTTTTCCAGCTACTACCGTCTCCTGAGCATTTAATTACCTCACACAAATCGAATGTGAACGCCGTTGTGGACCCATTAACATACCCAAACTCGACCCCGCCACTGGCTTTGAGACACTCATCACTCCCACCTGAACCAACCGCGCGTTTGAATTTTCTCGACGACTCGCTTGTTTTGGACTCTGGAGCGGATAGACCTCTGCCTCCGGGCAATTCTCCTGTCTGCCAAAAAATAAACAAACACGTTATAACACTTATTAACCCCAACATCCCCGTTATTTTCCAATTTTCCCACAATTTCATGATGTTCTCAGACTCTTTTTACTTGTACTTTAAACTTTGTGATAAGAATATATGGTTATAAAAATAAAAGTATAAAGTTCTAAGTATAAAAATATGTGATTAACATACAAAACTATTCTGATTCCTTTAAACTATCCAATACTTTAGACTAGAGCCCTAGCCTACTTAAACGCCTGGAACGAATTACTGCTTGGCGTGTGAGGCTCCTCTTCTTACTTCACCTCGACTCAGGTTAGACTACTGAGGAGGACCGTGGCCAGGGGGAGAGGATTATTCTGCCTCTATATTCCCCCTGGGTTAGTTGGGATAGAGCTTAGCTCCAGCAAGCTCTCGTCCGCGACTGCACACTGAGACCAATGGAACCAGGTCTCCCCTTT